GAATTTTAAGAGTAGTTTTTTCGGTATAGGAATAACAATATTCATTCCAGCAATCAAGCAGTTTGGACTCTACAGAGCCTGCATCAATAATACATCTATTGTTAACAACAGCTATCCTTAGCCAAAATACAGTATACATCAATGTTGTGTCGCTTTGCACATTGTAAAGCTTGATCGATATATTTTAGTCATTGCTTATCACTAAGGATTAGACAGAAATATCGGCTTCACATTGGCGACCAGTTCATGTTTATCATTGCCTTTTACAGTACTGGTGAAATATTTATGTGGTTGCCGGAAAAAGGGTCAAAATTTATAAATTATCTGTAACTGGGAGTTCTTTTACTTTAACTTCAACTAAATGATGAAATACCTCTAGCATTTGATGCATCCACACAAAAAATCAAATAACAGGTGAGTAATGAAACAGTTACTCTCTTTACCACCCACCTGAAATCTGTCGAATTCAGTTGCTGTTTAATGTGTATGTACTTACTTAAATATTCTCTGGAAATTATTTCCAAACTTTTATGAATAATACAGCATTCTTTAACGTCAATGCTGTTATCTAAGCTATTACTACTTAATTAAACGTTGAGTAGCTAACTTAATAAACAGAAATTATTGTGACATGCATATTCTGAAAACAAGATTAAAAGTTGTAGGTTAACATAATTTTCAGATGCACAGTGTTCGACAGTTGAATCTACTGAGTTTGAAGAAAAGCACCGAATATTTTTCGAACAGTACTCTGCTCTTGATATTTTTATACTTGAAAGTGGGGATAATATGTAGTCAAAGTTGTCTTCCTAACACTGAGTCTAGGGTGAAGTAAATAGAATTCATAACCTTGAAATGCGTGACAATTTTTACATGAAACCGGCTAGTGAAAGTTTGCAGAAAACACTTCTCTTCATTGGGTGGGTAACAACTCACCTGTTATGCGATTTCTATGAATTTTGGACATTCACTAAACAAAGTTTAATGCGATTCCGTTTGCTTATTATATTTTATATTCTGTGTATGGAAATAGTGGAGAATACTTGTAGCTTAGATGGATGGTCTTAGTTGCATTGCGTTCTCTGAACTGGGTTGTTAAACCCTGAAGCTTTCATCGTCCTACCAGACGACTTCATCAGTAATAACTTCAGTATGAAGTGAGCTGTCAATATCTCTCCATGAGTGATTTAGTAGCTTGTTCTGACGAATTGGTCTGTGATTGTTTGTTCCCTTTGATCGTTGTATCATTGACTGTATAGATTTCCTGTTGGGTGTCATTGTGGTTGATCTCTGTCGTTTATCATTTTTCTCATTGATTGATTTACATCTGTTGATTGCTGACTGACCTGAATGGCAAACCTTTAGGAATTCCCTGATATTCTTTGTGTTTCCTCTTTCCGTCCAAAATTTCTACATTGTCGAAATTGAATTCATTTCCATAGTTGTTATCCACATGCATTGAAATGAGTGATGAAATGTCATGTGTGACGTTTAATAGCTAATTGGTGTTCATGTAGACGAAGGCGAAGAGGGCGACCACTTTGTCCAATGTACTGTTGACTACAGTTATTGCAGTTGATTTTGTAAATGATATTTGGTTTGTCCTGTTTGGTTGTTGCATCACTTGGGTTGCATAATAGTGTTTGAAGGGAATCAGTCGGTTAATGAGCCACAGCAATTCCAAGTGGTCTCAGTAATCTTGTCGTGATTTCTAATATGTTCTTTATTTGACAGTGTAGAAATTTTGGATAGAGGAAACACAAAAAATATCAGAGAATTCCTAAAGGCTTGCCATTCAGGTCAGTCAGCAATCAACAGATGTAAATCAATCAATGAGAAAAATGATAAACGACAGAGATCAACCACAGTGACACCCAACAGGAAATCTATACAGTCAATGATACAACGATCAAAGAGAACAAACAATCACAGACCAATTCGTCAGAACAAGCTACTAAATCACTCATGGAGAGATATTGACAGCTCACTTCATACTGAAGTTATTACTGATGAAGTCGTCTGGTAGGACGGTGAAAGCTTCAGGGTTTAACAACCCAGTTCAGAGAACGCAATACAACCAAGATATTCCGTATATATTTGAAAATATTATCTTTCCATAATGTGCTCATTTTCATCTTAAACTTTACTAAATGTATACGACTAGACAAAATCAATCCACACCCAAAGTTATTATGTACATGTTTATAAATCACCTGTGAACTCACTAATTGTGTCACTATGAGTTAAGATTTCATGTTTAAGTGTTAGGCTTAATAAGAACAAGCTGAAAACAGGTGTTCATCTGAGTAATTTTTCTTCCCCATAATAAGGTTTTGATGACTAAAGTTTAAATATTTTTACTATTATTCATCTACACTTATTTGTAACTTTGTTTATTTCGGCCACAATTATGTTTTACGCTCTAAATATGACAGATTTGAGTAAATATACATTACATTTCTTTTATCCAGCCTGACTAATAAATCTATCTTGAAGGCGTATTCCAAGTGGTTGCACTGAAATTCTTTTTCCCCATAAACAGATATGTAAAGTTCTCTTACTTCTTGAGGAAAAATATCAATTTACTTGACAAGAGTTTCGTATCAGTTTGATGGTTTATTGATATTCGCTTACTTCAAGGTTACATTCGTCGCGGACAGACGACATTTGGAGAACCATTGAAAACTTGAAAGCATTGAACAGCTATTGCGTCTTTGTATAAGACTCTTCAACAGTGTTTATCCATGGGGCCATGTTAGTTGAACAATTACCAAGAATATTTATAAATTTGACCTTCTTTTTGTTTCTCATGAGTTAATAAGTTGGGCCAATGTCACCATATCTGTCAATTGCTGAATGACAAGTTTCTAATAATTCTGTGATATTCTTTGTATGTTCTGTATCCAGGATTCCTACATTTCCCCAATCAAATCCATGTCAATAGTTTTCAATATGTATCGACGTGAGCCAAGGTACTTCATAACTCTTCACTGCTAGTTGATGTTCATGTAGACTGATACGAAGAGGGTGACCACTATGTCCTATGTAGTGTTTTTGCAGTTTCTGAAGTTTATTCTGTCGATAACGTTTAGTTTGTCTTAGTTTGATGTTGTGCCTTATGGTCTGCATAACAAAGGGTGAGTAGATTAATCAAACTCATGAGCTACAGTGATTCCAAAAGGCTTCAGTAATTTTTTCATGATCTCCGAAATATTCTTCTACTGGGGTAAGACAAGTCGCTTGTTCGTTTCCTAGTCTGACATTGGCTGATGACGAGTTAGACAAATATCTTCTGATGAAGCTGATTAACTAACCGTTCTTCTGGAAAACAGTCACTGAATACTTTTTGCTTTTCCTCTACAAGATTGATATGATACAGCATGTCTCCGCTCTTTGGAACAATGTTTCTGTACAACTAATTTTGAATACTATTGGGTTTTTACAATTGTAGTTGAGGATTTGATACGTTTGAGTTAGTTTTCTACATGCTTCCGTTTCTGACTTTCTCAAATCCATTGTAGTGATCAAAACATCTGAAAATGCAAGTTTATCATTTGATTCCTTCTCAGTTGTGAATATGATGTCGTCGAAGATATTGTTGATAGATTTGTAAGCATGATTCAATTTATTTTTTTCAATGATGACAAACGTATCATCACACACTGGACCAAAAGTTTTAGTTTGATCAACAGCAATATCACAGTTTTCAACCGCCGCCTAACTGCTTACGCAATTAGTCCTGAAATAAGCGATCCCATTGTTGTTGTTTTGTCTGTTTTTAGACTTTGTCATTGAACTGAAAATATTTTGTCAGGCATGAATCAACATTGTAGTTGTGTATATTCCAAGAGATGTGTATCATTGTTGAGGAGAAGTGTCATTGTACTTTTAACCAGTTTCTGTTCAACTGAGGTGCATAAAGCTGTAACATTGAAAGACATCAGTTCGCCGTTATCAATATGAATATGCTTAATCTTTCCCCAAAATGGTGTCGGAGTATTGATAGAGTGGTCGCATGATTCTACCAGATGTTTCAGTTTTCTGAAGAGTTGGTTTCAAGGATAGCATGTTGAGGTTCGTTGAAGTGAATCTTCTGGTCGTTTGGTTTATTTAGTCATCTATATCCATGATTACTGTGGTACGCCGTCTGTCACCTAGAACTATAACTACGTTCTTTCTATTCTTCAGTTTCTTAAAAGCTCTCTGTTATTCATTGGTTAATTGAGTACCGCATTACTTCGATCACGTAAGAGCCCCGATATCTTGATGTATTTCCTGTTGGGTCTCAGAGTTTAGTCCTGAAGTCTTCAATGATGACTCTAGGGATGCGAAGAATTATGGTCTTGAGGCGTCTCTTTTGTTGTACTATAGTCCTTTCTGCAGAAGAAATCCCTCGGATGTGCTCAGAGATTATTTGGACAGGTCGACTAACCATTCACTTGTTTCTTATCCTTGTGATGGTCATCATTTTGAAATCTTGGCAAGTCTCACTCGAAGGATGTTTATTCTTTGTTCTTTGTGCTGTCTGTTTGATTTTCCAACCACAGTTGCCAACATTGTAAAGTGTTCTGTTATGAGTATTCCCTGAAGCTTTTTATTTTGGTTCTGTATTATCTGTTGATATTTCCAAATCTATCCATCCCATCTAAATCAAGGAAACAGCGTCATAAGAGTTATCCCCCTGAGCTACAACTATTCTGCACCTTCTATTATCCCAACTTCATTTTTCTGAAATACTAGGTTAAGTGATTATTTCATCATTTGACTAGACTTGGTACACATGCAGTTCAAATGTTCTCAATGTAAGTTTAATTATAATATGCATGCACCATGAAACTGTTGAAAGGCTCCTGTGAGTACTAAATGGCCAGTGGCAATCGGTATTATACATTTTCTTAATCCTTAATGCTTATTAAAAAAAATCAGTAAGTTGCTTTATACAACAAAATGGTCCTTCTTTAAACCACAACATTATCATAATTTGTGTATTTAAAATATAGGAATGGAGGCTGCATGAACACATTGAAGTAACAAGACGTTCTGCAACTCAGGAGTACACACATTCCAGTCAAAGCCATCCTTGTGTATCTGTCACCTGTCGAGCAGCACGTAGACCTGGTTATTTCTACTGGAATGTATTTCTAATTATGGTATGTAGATTGTATTATTTTCCCAAAGTTACTTACTCCTACATATAATAAATATTTTTTATCATTTTGACTATTTGAGACAGCCGTGGTTTGGCAGACTTGTAGTATTTATACTGGGTGGTGATTGTAGGTGAAACGAAAAGTTTGGACAGCGGCCGGCTTCGAGCCAGAGACCACCAGGTTTCCGGCCCGATGCCCTATCAACTGAGCTACGAGTTTCAACTGCTGACCAGATTTTTGTCTCACTTCAGTCATCAAGGGTTTTGCCCGACTCCCATATGAATTCTTGACGTGTTACTACTGCTTGATAGTACTTACATTGGCCGCCTAGTCAGGACTTATCCCAGTACAAACCGAACCGGATTAGAGAGGGGGAACATTATATTAATTATCCTTTTGACTATATGACTTGATTATATGGTTTCGCAGACTTGTGGTGTTTACACTGGGTGATGATTGAAGTGAAATAAAAATCTGGCCAGCAGTCAGACCTCAGTCGTTAAAGCATCGGGAAGGAAACCTGGTGGTCACTAGTTCGAATCCGGCCATGGTTGAACTTTTCGTTTCACCTTCAGTCATCACCCAGTATAAATAAATATTTTGCTTCATAGTACAATTGGATTCTGTCAGTTTTGGCCTTGCAAAGTAAAAACTAGTGACTTTCTTTTAAAGAATTATAGCATAACTGGGTATTAGTTTTCCTTGAACCCTTTCGGATACCTCAGAAAGTTTGAGTATTGGCACATACTTTGCATTTATTTAACTTGTTAGCTTGGATAGAAGTAACTGAAATAATTGTAAGAAAACTACTCTGTGGTTAAGAATACGATATCTAAGGAACTAAGCCATAACTTTAAAGGGACGATGGTAGAATGAATGAAGATAAATCATTCACTCAGTTAAGGATTAAAATGATGAAAGGATAAACTAGTTAAAACACTTCCATATGTACTTAATGCTTTCAGTTTGTTGATTGGTTAATCTGCGGCTTAAAAGTTATAGATTTGATTTCATGTTGTGACACTTCGTTGCAAAAGTCTGTGTGATGTACAGTTTACCATATGAACGTACACCACTTTATATATCAAACACTTCTTTGTTTTCTTTTTGAATTCACGTAAAAGCTACTTAATCTTTTATCAGTAATATTGCAATTCTGGTGCAGAAAACCAGTCAACCTTTGAATCTCGTGATGCACTGTCCGGTGACTGAAAAGACTATAATATAAAAACTTAAAAAAACACAATCACATTTGCTTATTCCGGCTAGATCGGTAGGTTTTTGCTCGAAATAAAGAAACGTAGTCAGTTATTTTAGTAGTTTTCCCAGTGACCTATAAAGTCGCTCCATACAATCAACCATAGAATCATCTATGAGCCCACAACATATGTAGAAGGATGTGAATTTGATATTTTTGTATCCTACTTTACTGTTATCAGGGAAAAGAGCACTTGAAATTTGGCGTGTACACTTTTATCTTACTGGAGTTAGGTTCCTCAATTTCAGCAGGGGCAATAGCATATATAGTCTAATGATTTTCCACTTTTAAAGATATTCCCCTTGCTATCATTTGCAACTTACAAATGAACAATTTATGCAGATTATAAGCTGTACCACAGAAGCCATATTTAGTCAATAGATAAAGTTTCATTACTCATCCCACTGCTGCATTATACTGTTAGTCAAAGATTTGCTTTCACTTTATTTCTTCTGAAATTTGTTGTTTAGCATTGTGACATATTGTTCTAGGTATCTTTCAGCTAGATGCTAGTGCTCTTCTGAATATGACACAGCTTAATATTTTCCCTAAAGCAACAGACACACCATTCTTACTAAAAGTACACCATTCGTAGAACATGTGGGAGGTGGTTTACCAGCTTCTGAAAGTTTTCCAGCTAATAAGATAATTTGTAAAACGCATAAGAATAAAAAGTGTTTTATGTGGCGAATACGTTAGTCTACATAAGTCTTACTTCCTTTGTTTTAAAATACAACCAGGAAACCTTGAAAATAAATTTTACTTTTGCCTTTATCGATCATTATTGTTTATTGAAAAGCCACGAGTTTCCTGCTTATTCAAATAAAAACATTTGACATAAAATACATATGGATTAAGAGTCAATTTAAGCGTAGGCGGTGGAAATAGGATAAGATTCATGACTGTCAACGAATTAGCTAACATCTCAAATATTACGCTTGAAGCCAATACTTATCACAAGCATATTAAACTAAGAATTATATTGCTTTCATTTAGTCTGGAGTTACAAAAGTCTGCAAGATGATGTTTCAAAATAATTTTCTGTTCTAGTAAAAACAATTAAGATGTCAAACAAGGAATATTATTATTATCTGTCCCTCGGGTTCCCAGTCGAACATAGGGCTTCAGTTGCACGTCTACGTTTCACTCCCTTCTCTGTAATCTTTTGAACCTCGTTTCACCCCTCCCCACAAGCTTACATTTCTTCTTCACACCGTCTCTTCCATGTCACCTTCAACTGGGACACCCAACTCGTCGTTTCCCAATTCTAGTTCCACTCGACGACCTGGCCTGGCACGTGATGTCTCTAACAGGTGTTCTCAGTGAATGCTCAATCCAATCTATCTTCACTTTCTTCTTCTTCTTCATAGTTGTTAGGCGATGGTTTGTTGGTTGGTTCGTTGTCAGCCACAGTGAGTTGTTTGTTGCGTATTCTTATTATTCTGGCCATCTGACCTGATTTTCAGTATCAAGTGAGCGTAGACGATAGCTGTTGACGAATGTCTGTAGTTTACTGGAAATGCTTTTCGTAACGCGCTAAGTCTCTCAACTATCACACAGAAGTACTGACTTGACGGTGGTGTTGAAAATCCGGATCTTGTTCACGCTTTATGCTGAGTGCAATAGATCTCCACACTGGCTTCAGGTTAATAATGGCCTGTCTTGCGGTCTTTCCGATCCCGGCTTTGACATTCTTATCTGTTCCTATGCTGCTTGTAGTTGAAACGATGCTGACTAGATGCGTAGGTGAACGAGACAACTTCCTTCAGATTTCTCCCATTGATGGTGATTGGTTCGTGTTATTGTCATTGTTATTGTTGTTGGTTGGGTATCTTCATCACCTCTGTCTTCTCGACATTCCCTTGAAGTCCTGTCTTTGCTTCCCTCCCTCTTCTGTAGACATGCTGGTTTTCACCTGAAGATCGTCGAGTGTGTGCGACAAGACGTTAGACATAAATCATCATAATCGGCGGCAAAATCCGAATCCTCTAGAGTCTTTTCATCCATCAAACAGCGTATTCCCATCTTCTCACTCCTCACAGTTTCTCGCATAATCCAGACCAATCCAGTCGACGACAATCGGGAAGATGACAAGTGATAGTAAGCAGAAGCTTATCTTATTCCTGTCTTCACTTCAAAGGCGTCACTAACCTTTCCATTGTGAATCACTCAGCATGTAGCATCCTCATATAGCTGTTGAATGAGGTTGATGAAAGTTTGTGGGGCTAAAACCGTATTGTTAAAGCAGCCGCCTGTCAAATTACTTCTCGGTTGACGCTGTCGGCTTTGCATCCTATTAAGTTTATTCTTCTGTCAAGGAAAGAATGAACCTAACAGAATGCTTTTAAGCAAACACAAAACACAAGAAAATGATATGGAAAAAAAATGCTTATCACAATGTTTTCATGAATCATGAGTAACTGACTGTTATATTCATTGTGGATAAATATTTTTTGTGTATAAACAAAGATATAGAAGATAAAAAAGAAACAACAGCCAACAGATGTTCATTCATATACAACAACATGTTGACAAATATTTGTCAGCTTGTAAATAACGCTGATGTTGAAAGAGGCTAATTTACTATAAAATGAAATCAAAATATGATTTCTATCTTAAAGTGTTGTAATTATTCTGTGCGAAGAATAATTGGCTTATAACAGTAGAATTTTATATATGGAATTATTAAAAACAATTTAATGAGAAATCATGTCTATGAGATGATATTTCAAGGAGCTATAGACAGTTGATTAACTAATATATTATTATAATATTATTATTTGTCCCTTGGGTCCCTAGTAGAACATACGGCTTCAGTTGCACGCCTCCATTCCACTCTATTCTCTGCAGTCTTCAAAACCTAGCGCCACGACTACCCGCAAGCTTTCATTTCTTCCTAAAACCATCTCCATGTCACCTTCGCCTCGGACGCTCAACTCGTCGTCTTCCCTTTGGATTCCACTCTACTGCCCGACCTGGCGCGTGATGTCCCCAGTCGACCTTCTCAGTGCATGGTCAATCCATCCCCACTTTGTTTTGCATATTTGTTGGGTGATGGGTTCTTGGTTGGTTAGTTGCCAGAGTTGCTTGTTGCTTACTCTTTCTGGCCATCTGAGCTTCATAACGAGTGTAGGCAGTTGTTGATGAATATCTATAGTTTGTTGGAAATGCTTTTCGTAACGCGTCGAGTCTCTGAACCATATAGAAGCACTGACTTGACATTACATTAAATAATGTAGTTGAACTATTTTACTGATAGACTATGAGAAGTTTTAACGCCAGAATTTCTGACACATACTCATACATATATTTTAGGATGTCTGATGTATTCCGTTTCTTAAACAGTCTTTTGCTGAGATTTTCTTTATCAACTTCTATAGGTAATTGCACACCTTGTCAATCAACAACATGATTGTAGAATACACGTGTCTTTTCAAAATGTTTTTCTTGTACACTCGTTGAACTAACCAAGTTCTTGCAGCTTGAAGGTTGATTTCTACATCTTTTGCATGGAATGGACATCGAGTATTTGTAATACATTTGATTTAACTAATAAAAAACTGCGAACTAAAGGCAAGTATGAAAAATAATTTCCGTAGCAATCCCCTACATTATAGTTTCTACTGAGCCAGTGTATTTGGTTTTCCAATAGTGAAGCTTACTGTTTGTATACTGGGCGTCTTTGGTCAGACATAAGTAAAGGCAACCCTTAGTGTATTCCCATTTCATCCTTCTAGTTGAACCAGAGGAAATTCATATCCGATGTAAAAAGTTCGTTAGTTTGTGGACATATATTTTATCTTAATTATATACATTAAAGAGTAGTGAAATGTGTTCCGTTTAACATTATGATATTTTTTAACTACGAATTATTTTTGTGCATTTAGATAACCAGAACGTGAGTTTTGTTGCGTCTTTCGCTTCTTAGATACCTGTGATTGTAAATAATTTCGACGAAAAATTTGAAAGATGGCAAAATCAAAAATAAATTGCTTCTCTTAGCATCGATCGAACCGATCGCTTCCTCAGAATAGCATGCGTATCAATTTCTTTTCGTAAAATTGGTATATAACATTACAATCACTTCCTCAATTGAAAATAAACAAAAAAAACTTGTTGTTCTAATGTATGCTCACTATGTAGTAAATACTTGTGCTACATTATATATTCAGTAATTTGTTATCTGGTATGCAAAAGGATTTACACGGTAATGTAAGGTACACAAATTTGATTTAAAGTAAAAAAACACTTGTACATTGAATATCTCCTGTTAACTCATCGGTGAATAATTTGGAAAGTTAATTCACGTAGCATAAATGTTTTATTAAAAAAGGTATACTCCAAATCTATAGCTTTGATTACAGGTCTTATTTCAGTTGTAGTGTGCATAACAAATGTCACTATAGATAGCTAAAGAATATGAAAAAGATTTGGTAATTTTGAAGAACTTAACACGAGTATAATTTAACATGAATAATCCTGTATCTTTCGTTGCAGTGCGAAAGTGAAGGTAGTTTACTTTTGAAAATCACCCATAAAACTGATCGTAGCCAAACAGATCTAAAGTCACCCAACTTCGGTGGTGACACTGTTTCTATTTCAATAAAATACTCAGCTTAGATCCAAATTTCTGACTTGTGAAACGAATGACGTGAAAGCAAACAGTGGAAGACAAAGTGTTTTTAGACCAATGTGCAGAACGTGCAGATTCATATTCGTGGTTTCTAAATACCCACATAATTCATGAACACTTTACTTCTGTTAATGATGGTTTGTGGCCAGCAGTGCAGCCCAGGATGCGCATTTCGTCCTACTTGGGACTCGTCACCTGGATGTACCTGCTTCACAGTGAGTGATAATGTTCCCACCGGGATTCAGGCTCAAAAGGTTCAGTAACACTAAATGTTTGAATCGAACTGTGATTCACACAGGACATGAGGAACACTACTCTAAAACATATTCCTATCATTTTGTAATCTCAGCTACGTTATTTTAATAATCAAATATGCCAGCTACTTCATTCATCTGTGAAGCAGAAGATGGTGACAGACAGAACTTTTGCACTTCAGCTACAGATGGTTTTGTTTAAGTACATATACCCTCATGAAAGTCATAACACAAGCCTCGAAGGTATACCGGAATTTTCTTCGAAGTTGTGGAGCGTTATCTATAAAAGTCCAGTGTGTCTATAGTTCATCTGTGACGGTTCGAAGAAATATGAAGAGAATAATTTAGCATATTTTTATTCAACCTGTGAAGAGACACACTGAGAGGGTTCATTTAACTGAATGAGTAAACCTGACCTAATCATTGAAGTAAGCCCAAAACTTCTCAGTACCACAACAGACGATTCAGGTTGGGTTGGAAAGCGATTATGACAGACGACTTACAGGTGATCTGTGTGAAATCATCCCATAATCATCTCATTCATAGAAATAGATGACAGTTATCTGATAAAGATCAGTCAGATAAGTCGGAGCTAGGAAGACATTTTTACTGCTTGTTATATTTCGACAGTAGCATACAATGTTCTAAATAGACTACATCTGAAATAATCTTGATTAAAAGACTATTCTTAGTGTAGAAATTTTCATGAATAAGTTTACAACCGTAGATGTGGGTCACCAGGATAAGAACTTCACAATTAACAGGTTTTGAAAAATCAACTATACGCTGGCGTTCTCAAAGAATTTCAGTATACTTTCAAGATGAAATTTGTCCCTGCAAAAAATCTCAAAATGCTTTTACAGAGCTGTTATTCATACCTAACTGTTTATCTACAAAACAGGTATATGAATATGTTAGCATATCTTAACTATATATAGCGGTTAATTGCATCGACCAATTGTCAACCGATTAAACAAGCATACACGAGACAAAAAAACAGTCCAAATAAATTTGGAATGTATGAAAGAGATGATAGAGGTTGTACTATATAAAACGGTAACTCATACTGTTAGACCTTCTTTTCAATGGAGTCCTTAAGCAAAATAGCTTTTGGTACATTCAAGATTTGCATTTAGAGCACCGGACCGAAAACTCGGCGGTCGCTTGTTCGAATCCGGCCGCGGTCTAAGTCTTCATTTTACCTTGAGTCATCATCCAGTATCAATTAAGAAAAAGGACTGATTGAACTTAGAAGTAGTTTTTATCCAAGGGAATGTAAGAAAACAGCCTTTGTTAATTTAATCACACACAAATATGCTTATTTAACATACTTTACTCGAGAACGAAGAGTGTTATGGATTCATTTATGCAAATCTATCTGGACATCAATGTGAATATGCTTGTTCACTAAGGGTTAAGTAATCATGATGTAGTAATGAGTAGGGTGGAACATCATGTGAATACAATAAGAAAATAAAGAGTGACAAATGTAAAGCGTTACGTAACGTTTGAAAATGACTACGAGTAATGGTATGAATAAACAAGAACGTGAAACTGATAATGAATGTTTACCGATGTAATGACACAGACAATGTAGAGGAAAAAGGTTTGAGGTTAGAATATGAAATTTTTGGATTTAATAGCAGGTGTGAAATATTAGAGATATATTATGTGCATCTTGGTAGTTTGAAACCAATGAGTCGAACAGATTTATCGGTAAATAATAAGTGTTGAAAAAGAAAACTGATCCACTAAGAAATTATTTCAAGCAATAAATAATTATTCAAAAAAATGAAGCTTTCAAGGTCACTGCATAGGTTAAGTATTTTGAACCAAATTTGAATTATGTCTTACCTGACATTCAATCAAAGCCATGAACCGGGTCTAAAATAAAGGCCGATTTTACTCCTAGTGTTTTTATTTTACTCGTGAAAGATGACAGAAACAATATTGATATTTTACTATCAACAACGCTTTTTTCTTTTCCAGTTCTTTATTACTGGTTTATCGTTTGCTACATTCGCTGTACCACCGGAACGGCCTGAAAACAGGCTTCAACTGTCATTCACACTATTTCTTACTTCCGTAGCCTTTAAATTTGTAATCAATCAGTCGTTACCGAAAATTTCTTATCTAACTTACATGGTAAGTGATTATTTTTAACATTTTATTGTTTGTTTCTAGCTATTTTTTATCGATTAGACTATCTGTGGCAGGATGCATCGGCTTATACATCCCATGGTAGCCGTTGAACATATGATAGTGATGAGACAGTGATGCCTCAGTTTCAAAAGGTGTGAACTTAAAAAGGCTTGACAGGTCAAACCAACGAACATTACTGATATGCATGCACATATATGTAGGTATGCCTCAATAGTAATCAGATGACTCAAGCTACCGCTATTATTTGAGATAAACAAGAAGGCAATTCAGATTGCACTTATCGTTTTCACTCTGGAAACTCAAGAAGTTAAATCTGACTCAGTAGGATAGGTGTACTGAAGATTATGCGTGAACAAAAGTTGAAAGTTATAATTATGAAAGCTTTAGTCTAAGGAGTAAGAAAATTACCGAAAGGTTTGACTAAACAGCGATGCTCAATTTTTAATCAGAGAAGTAATAAGTTTCTTTATTATCCTGTATTCATTTGGGTTGCAAATAATGACTAGATTGAATTTCCAATATGTAAACATTCAGGTCTACAAACTTTGTTTGGAAGTCTTATAAGTAAGTGTTTCAAATGATCTTACTACATTCGTATTAAGTTCCTCATCTATACGGAAACGCGAAAAACCTCATTGATAAAAAACATATCTTTCAATTTAATCAAATACAATAGAAGATTGCATGCACACGGAAAATTTTGAACTAGTAAGACACTATTATCTTCGAAAGAAGTAGAAACTGAAAGAAAAAAGTGTACTTTACTCTAAATCCGTTTGAAGTCAAAAACAGGAGAAAAACTCTCCTCTAATTTAAGGATACACTGTATGTTAATAGAATATCAGAACTCAGAGTTTGCTGCCTGTTAAAATTGAGTTGATCAAATATCAAGCACTGTTATATCATGAATAACAGGCAAATATAATATGTGAACAAGAAAAAAGGATGAAATGTTTCAGTTACATGCTGGTGATAATTAAGCCTCAGGTGGAAATAAAAATGATCTGTGAGAAAATGCATGTGAATTCATTAGAAATGTCTCAGTAAAATTTTGTCTACTTCTAGTTGTGAGTTAGCTGAAAATTAAATAAATCATTTATTATTATTGTTATCATTCATCCCTTGGGTTCCCTGATCTGTGATGATGCGTAGCGTTGCAATTTGATCCGCACACGATTTGTACTTCCTGAATCCAGCGCATCGTTTAGTCTCTCCAGGATGATACGGTATAATATTTTACCGCAGCAGCATGATTCCGCATCAGTTCTTGCAAGCATTTAGATCTCCTTTGTTCTGGAGTTTCATAAGATAGCCCTTCTTTCAATCGACCGTCAGGTACATTTTACTCCTTCCTTCAATACCTTGTGGAATAGGGATGTGAGCATGTCCGCTGTTTTCTCTGAGTCTGTTTTCAGTGCTTCTGATGGAATTCCATTTGGTCCTGCTTCTTTCTCGGATTTTAACAACTTTATGGCCTTCAAGATTTCAACGTTCATCAGAGGGCTTTTGTTCACTAGTTATTCTGCGGTATTTCTGGATGAGTTGAAGGTGGTGGCGGTGGTAGTTGACTCAAGAGCTTTTCTAAAGTCGTCGATCCATTGGTTCCTTTGTTCCTCCTCTTTGGTAGCTAGCTTTCCTTCACTACCTTTCATTGTTTTCGTCTGAGTTGATCTCTCCCCAGATATTAAGTAGCCTGGTTATTTGATATAATGCTGTCAGCTCCATCCTATCAGCAACCCGTTCTACTTCACTTACCAATGTGTCGTAGAAGTGTCTTTTGTCTTTCCGTGCACTCTTCTTCACTTCTTTGTCTAGTGTTCTATAGGTTGTGTTCAGTTCCTCGTTTCATTGTTCATCCCTGCACTGCACTAGTTCATCTCCTGCTTCACCATACTCCTCTCTCTTCTCTATCAGCTTCCATGTGTCCGTCGAGATCCATTCCTTGTCTTGTTTCTTCTTCTTTCCTAATACGGTTATGCAAGTTTCTTTCCACATCTCTTCCAAGGAGTTTCAGTATCCTTCCACAGAGGTTTCTTCAGGAATGTTGCCTAATGTCTACCATTTCGTCTTGATGACTGGCTGACGTGAAGATGTCCTTTGTAGTTTCATCCTTCAGTTCAGTTTCTGGGTGTTTGAACTTGAACTACGGTCTGTCACCAACTTATTTAAATCAAATGCTTTCAACTTGATTTCGAAGTTGGGTTCCCTGCACTAGATAGTGAGTGGTGTGAACCTACATACATCTGTTCCCCTTCTTGATCTTGTGTCCTGTGGGCTGCCTCTCCACTTTCTTCACATTGAGATGAAGTCGATCTAATGTTTAGTGTGTCCATCTGGTGAGGTCAAATCCATGTCACTACCTTGTGAATATCCTTGTGTTTGAACACAGTGCCTCCAATCACCACATTGTTGAATGCAAAAAAGTCTCCAAACAGTTATCCATTCTCATTCATTTCACCAACTACCTCCCGTCCAATGATTTGTTCTCGTCCTGTGTTGTCTGTCCCCAGTTTTGCACACATGTCATCCACTAGAATTTTCATGTCACCATCTCCTTCTGGTGGCTTGTCCAGTGTTGATTGCAGTTGTCTGTAGAATTCCTCCTTCTTCTCTCGATTTGCATCATTTGTTGGTGCGTAGTGTAGTATTGTATTATTGTGACTCTACTTCCTTTTGAGTTGAATCTTGCTGTCATGATCGATATCCTGCAGGAGGAGATTGGTTCCCACTGCATGAGAGAGTTTTCGATGCTGTTGGAGACTTCATGATAGCCAGTCCCTCCGTGTGCTCTTGGTCGTCATCTAGGTGACATTATCGGAGTAGATTATTGACTCCTCTCCAGTTGACAGTTGAGAGAGTCCACTTACATTCTATCCCCAGATTCCTCACAGATTCCTAGCAGTTCTATACTATACCTTCCCATCTCTTTGACAATCTGAGCAGCCTTGCTAGCCAGCTTCAAACATGGTGTGGACATTCCATGTCCCTACGCTTACTTTCTCCTTCACTGAGTGAAGACACATCGGCCAATTGGCTTACTGAAGGCTTTCACCAACTGGCATCATTTTGCCTCTTTGATTCCAGCAAGGTATAAGTTTATTTTTATTTTATATATATTTTTGTACTTTGGAGTATCTTTAGCGATTGGATTGGTTTTCCAGGGTTGGGTTGCTAGCACTCTGCTCAGCCTTCTCTCTTTACCTGGCCTTAGGAAGAGCTAGTAACTAGTGTACTAGTTACGTAGGCAGTGTTTAAATAAATCAGTAAACATTTTATTCTCACATTATGAATTCGAAATGAGGGAAGCCAGTTTACAGGCATCAGCATTTTGATATTTGTCGAAAAATCCATAAGAATTTAGGGGCCCTGAATAGTACAGAAGCGAGGACATTAGACCCTATCATAACATCAAAAGATTCCGCTAATTATGAAACGAAGTATCACCTTTCAGGGTTTACACATGGTTTGAGTATGGATCGTTTTCAGTCATTTTTTCCCATAGGTGACATCAGTTTCGTGCGATGTTACGCAAGATAAACGTCTATTTTAACATAATTTCTAATGCTCATGGCTTTGGTGACTGAAATAATCCACACTGACGATTTTAGGGATCAATAAGTTTCCACATAATCATGTAGTCCAAGTGAATACCTGTGTTCAAGCGTTTCCTACTCTTCAGGTGGTACCGTTCACAGCAACATAAAATGGTACCATTAGGTATAGATGCTGTGGTGCAAAAGAATAAACGTTTGAAGAACTGCAGTTCAATGGCAGTGAGTTTTACATATTCACGTTAAAGTATGCAATATTATCAACGAGGTATATTCCCCGTTAGGTAAAGCACTAAAGAAATCTGTTGCGTAACACTGTCGTGAATATTTTACCTTTAGAGTCGACAGAAGAGCTGATCTTTTATACTTAACTGCTTGTCCAGACTTTCGACACCATAGTAACTGTTAAGAAGTCTGAGTAGTTCGAGGATAGACAGATGTTCAAATGGTGGAAGAGTCAAATGAATGAATGGTACAAGTAATTTCTACTCATGAGATAATAAATTTCGTGGCAATGTCATGTTGAGAATCGTTAACATATACTCCACATTTAAGTCATATTTTCTCCAGTGGAGGATATCTAGATGATGTTGGTTTTCGAAGTTTTTAGTTAAATTCTTTGAACATTTAGTGTTCAGATTTCCAGGTAATTCGATAAGCTTTCATCTTAATTCATTTTCTTCACAAATTACTGACATCTTCACGTTGTTAGATTTTGAATGAAAAAACAAAAAACCAGGTGTAGCTTCTGTACCTTTGCATTTGGAAATTGTTTATATACTAAAAGGTTCTGTTGTGTCTGTAGCTTTAGTAATTTTAGTACTTGAGTACTTTTCATAACACAGTTGTGTAATATGGAGTTAAGCTGTCTTTTAAACTTAGACAGTTAGGAAAAGGAAATTAATTGACTGACCCATAATGGAAACAGATGGAGTGTGAATTAAAAGATTCATTACTTGTTTATACATTTTAAACCACTCGGAAACAACTTAGAGAGTCAGAACTTGCAAACTGACTGAAATGATTAGCTCTAAACTACTCAGGCTGATCAGATGAAAGTAGTGTAGGTACTGAATGACTATTTTATACATTTTGGATCAAGTTCATCAGTGATGTATGTGAATGAATAAGACTTGAATAGTCACATTGTTTAAACCCTCTCAAATCTGGTTTGCTAAATGGATGAATTGAATATGCTTAAAAGATGTCAGTGTGTGAGCACTGAGATCTATTTTCTACCAAGTCAACAAAGTATAATACATTTGAACATAAAACCAGTTCAAGTAATTCGTCTACATTACATTCCTGTTAAAACATTCAAAATATCAAGTAAATTAATTGCAAAACCAGCTTGTTAGTGGGGAAGATGTTGATACTAAACTAAATGATGCATATGTTATTGAAAAGAAAAAAATGAACCATACTATGTTT